TGTTTTCCGCGGGTACCACGGTCTCGGGTAAGAAGGGGCGGGCGGGAGTTCTGGGGAGCGGAGTTGCTATTTGGGGGATGGAGATTTACTTCTGCAGTCACTGCCGGCTCAGCCCAGGGGGGGGGGCGGTCTGCCCCCTGTCTGAACCTGGTCTGTGGCGTACGGGAGCGACCAGCCCGGGAGACGCTGCTGCAAGCTTGGTGGGGTGGCTTAACGATGAACACCATCAGGACCGTTTTCCCAAAGAGCTTAGTTCCCGTAGGCGCCTCCAAGAGCTGTGGGGTGGTTAACCAAGATGCCGGCTTTTTCCTCCCCGGGTTACTCGGGAGCAGCTCACACTCACAGGTGGGCCTGGGCACCATTCCTTACCCAGCCTGGCTAATAGCCAGTAATAGACTTAACCTCCATGAATTTATCTAGTTATAAAATGTATCTCTTTTAAATCCTGTTATAATCCTAGCCTTCACAACTTCCTCCGGCAAGGAGTTCCACAGGTTGACTATGTGCTGTGTGAAGAACTTCCTTTTATTTGTTTTAAACCTGCTGCCCATTCGTTTCATTTGGTGGCCCCTAGTTCTTATATTATGGGAATAAGTAAATAACTTTTCCTTATTCATTTTCTCCATCCCACTCATGATTTTATAGACCTCCATCACATCCCCCCTTAGTCTCTTTTCCAAGCTGAAAAGTCCCAGTCTCTTTAATCGCTCCTCATGTGGGACCTGTTCCAAACCCCTCATCATTTCAGTTGCCCTTCTCTGAACCTTTTCTAATGCTAGCATGTCTCTCACGAGCTCAGCACGGCGCAGGTCCAGACCCAGAGTCAGCAAGAGGGTTTGCAAGCACTGAACTCGGTTGGCGGCAAGCAGAGGATGCAAAAGCCCAAAATGCTGCTCCTCTTTCATTTCTCTTCCTCTTTTAAAGTTCCCCTTTGCCAGCTGCAGCAGCATTGGTACTTTCCAAGGCACTATGCCTGCATCTGAGTTTCAATTCAGCTGCCTCTCAGAGCCCCCAACCTCCCGATATTCTGGCCCCCCCTTATCCATCCTGTGTCCCAAGGGTGCCAGCTCTGTCCCTCAGGAGCCTGGGTTGGCTGTCCTGGAGGGGAGGGTGGCAAGATTCAAACCCTCAACCTGTGGCTTGGGGGAGGGGGCGAGACAACGACCCAGGAAGTGAAAAATCCTTCCCAGATAAACAGAGGTAAGAGAAGCAGAGCATGCAGAATACACAGGGCAGGTGGGAACCCCATGCCAGAATAGGAGGGGCTTATAGGGAGGGCTCTGGGGATCCAGCGGCCTAGGGTCTTGGGCAGGGATAGATTGTGCCCTTCGACTTAGCTCGCTGGTTGGAATCTAGCTCTGGTTTGACGGTCACGTTGCTGGGTCCCCTGGGCCGGGCGTACGTGTCTGTGGCGGCGTGACTAGGTTGGTAAGCTCTTTGGGACAGAAACCATCTTTTTGTTCTGCATTTGTACAGCGCCTGGCGCGGTGCGGCCTTGTCTGGGTTCCCCGACGCTGCTGTCCTACAAATGGGGCTGGTGGGAGGAAATCCAGCCCCTGCTCCTGGGAATGGCTAGTGATAAACAGTGGAACAGCTTCAACAGAAGAGCGGCAGACCCCGACCCCAGCATGCCTCAGACCCAGGGGGTTTGGGCACTCGCATGAGGGGTGGGAACTTAGGTTCCCACTCCGAACTCCCTTCAGAGCTCCCCCAACTCCAACATGACATACCCAGGGGGTTCAGGCACTTGCCTGAGGGGCAGGAACCAAGATTTAAAGCCCCCGCCCCTTCCACAGTGGATTCAAAAGTCTGTTTTCTATGTCCCAGGTGCATTTTCTATGCACTAGGTAATGGGTATGGAGCAGTAGCGTCCCCTTTGTGACTGATTTCTTTGGATTTAAAAACTGCCTGGAAACTCTGTTTTGGGTCCAATGAAGCATTTCACTCAAGCCAAGGGGCCTTCTTGTACTTTTTTTCCATGGCCGAAAATTGCAACCCCCTACGGTTTCGCTTCCACCTGCACGGTTTCGTTTTCGCAACACCCTGCAGACCAACCCCTGGGTTGGGCGTGCACAGCTCTTTGCAACACCATGACATGTTAAAAACGCTTACAGCTTAGAAAATGCTGAGTGTATCAGGGAAGTGAGTCACGGGCCATGGAATTCCACCCAATCAGCAATGGGGCTGGAGAGGAACGGCGCCGGAACAACTGGAGCCTCCCAAAATCAGCGCCGGGTTCCCCAAGGAGCTGCCGTTTGTCCTTGCAGGGACTGGCATGGCAGAGCCGGGCTCAGATGTCTCGTCCCGCTGACGTCAGTGGGAGTGGAGGGTTCGTATCCCCCGGCAGGATTGGCGCCGCAGAGAGACCTGTGTGAATCAGCACCTTCGTAAGGTAAACCCCTTGGCAACTCTTTCTCTTCCCTCCCGCACACCTGCTGGGCGTGGGGCATTGTTCCAGCTAGTGGGCCTGAGCCCTGGTCCAGAGAGAAGAATGAGTTTGATCCACAGCCTTAGCTACCAGCTGGGAGGCATTTCGTACCTGTCGGGAGTTCGGTTCCGCCTACCAACCTCGCCTTGACCGTTAATTGCCGCCTGCTTTTTGTTCCGGAGGAAGACTTGCGTTCCAGCCTCTCTCGGTGGCAGGGTGTTTTGCCGATTGTGCAGGGGCTGAGTGCTGGGGCTGTTGGAGCTAAGTATTGTGTTTTGTGCGCACACGTCCGTGCGCAGCAAAATGCTCGTGAAATTATGGGCAGCTGTTCCACACTTGATTGTAACCTCTCCACTGGAAGATGCTCCAGCCTCTGCTAACCTTCATCAGGCTGCGCACTCCCTCCTCTTCCCCTCTGAAATCCTTACATCCGCTTCCCCCCAAAATCGTCTGGCTGCCACCAGCCTCCTCAATGGTCTACTCAATGCACTCCTCCACTCGAAGCAAGTTCTTTAGACACTAGTAACCACAATCAACTCTCTCTTTACAAGCTTCAGGGAGTAGCTGAATTAGTCTGTTACAGACAAAAAACCAACACAGCTTCAGGGGGTAGCTGAATTAGTCTGTTGCAGACAAAAAACCAACGCATGGTCTGCTAGCACTCTATAGATTAACAAAACATGTCGATGGGATCATGAGCTTTCGTGGCTGTGCCCACGAAAGCTCATGATACTATCTACCATGGGTTCCCAAATGGGGTCATGTGCATGAAGAAATTCCGGGAGGGGGGCGGAGGGAGGGTGCCACGTGACACACACACACACCCCGTCCCCCTGTCAAGTTTTGCTGCCCAAGTCAATTTTTTTTTGTTTTGCTCAACAAGTTTTGCTATTGGGAGGGGAGTGTGAGGGGGTTTCAAAAATCAAAAAGGGGGCATGATGCCGAAAAGTTTGGGAACTGCTACACGTTTTGTTAGTCTATAAAGTGCTACCAGACCATTTGTTGTGTTTTGTCTCTTTACAGCCAGTGCAGGGCTTGGAAAGTCACAAGCTACTTTCACAGAGGAAATTATCTACTTTCTACATGCTCAGGGGCCCGCTCGCGGTCTCAGCTTCCAGGCATGACATCTTACCTTTATAACGTGGCGTCAAGCTAGGGAAATATTTGTAGCGCAGCCGTGTTGCGTGAGTGGCTCGGGTACTGACGGACGCAAACGTCGTACAACCCCTGGGTGTGTCTAGACTACAGGGTTTTTTCGAAAAAACTTCTCCTGCATCTAGACAGCTGCCGTGTTCTTTCTAAAGTAAATCGAAAGAACGTAGCGTTTTTTTTGACTGCGGAAAACCTGGTTTTATGAGGAAGAATGCCTTTTTTCGAAAGTGCTCTTTCAAAAAAACGTGCTATGTAATGCAAACTGTGCTTTTTCGAAAGAGAGCATCCAGACTGCCTGGGTGCTCTCTTTCAAAAAAGCGGCGCGCTTTTTCGGAAGTACTGGCTGTAGTCTAGACGCTCTCTTTTGAAAGAGGCTTGCAGTCTAGGCGTACCCCCTGTGACTACAGCCATGCTTGCGTGAATTTAACTCCGTGACAAGGCTTTGAGGTTGGATTTCCAAAGTCTGCTTTGTCAGGTTGGCCGCTCTGTGTGAGCGCTGTGTAAAAGCTTAGCAAGAAATGAGATCACATCACAGAAGTAGAGGTGTCTGTTTCCCTTGCCCAAATGAAGGGCTTGTGTGTGGTCTAAGGGTGTCGACAGGTTCACTGGTGCCCGGGAGCAGCCCTACATCTGCAGCCTGCCACCCAGGATCCTGCTTTGTCAGTTAACCAGCCGGTCAGCCTAATGTTTAATTGATTAATTGGGATTTTACATCTCTAGTTTGGCCTTATGCTGTGGCCTGGGAGGAAGGCAGCATGAAGCCGTGGCACTGAAAGAGCAGATCATGGGACAAACTGTTCCCGCTTTGCTTTGTGACGCAACCTGCCATGCCGGACCAGCCGTGGATTACTTCCCGCCTCGTGGTGGCTCAGTGCTGATGCATTTTGGGAAGGAAAGTGGGTGGAGGTTTTAAAGGAAGGTTCTACCCCCAGCCCAAGTAGGGAAGAAGCTATGGGTCTTACAACAGCTGTTTCTGGCCACCTCGCTATACCCTGTGCTGCGGCAGATATAAGACAGCTGCCTTTCCCCCTCCTTTCCCCTGCTCCGTGGCCGGGTGGGCCTCTCCTGAAGTGTCACAGTGAGGCTATGGCTAGACTGCAGGCTTCTTTCAGAAGAAGCTTTTCTGGAAAAGATCTTCCGAAAAACTTCTGCCGAAAGAGCACGTCCACACTGCAAAAGCACATTGAAAAAGCGATCTGCTTTTTCGAAAGAGATCGTCCACACTGAATAGACGCTCTCTCGTAGGTAACCTATGGACAGAATGGCCACCAGGGCACCTGTGCTTTTTCCTCTTTCCGCTTTTTCCGAAAGAACGCCCTCTTCCCTGTCCACATGCGCCTTTTTCCGAAAGAGCTCTTTCGCAAAAAGGTTTCTTCCTCGCAGAAAGAGGATTACCAATGCCGGAAAAACCCCTCTGCTCTTTCGATTTTCTTGCGGAAGAACACGATTGCAGTGTGGACGTTCCTCCAGTTTTGTCGAAAAAACGGACACTTTTCCGACAAAACTCTGTTGTGTGGACATACCCGAAGATCCCACAGTGACTGTACAAACAGGCACAAGGCTAGATGGATTAGACTGCTGGTATAAAATGAGAGACAGGTGGACACAATGCTTTGATACCCAGCTGGTTCCCAGGAAGATACTAGCTGGCCCCCCCGACAACCTAAACGAGCAAAGTAGGGCACACTTCCAGTGCCCTCCGTTAGCCTCATTAGCACCAGCACTACAATTGACAGGTACTTCCCACCCCCCTTCTTTTTCTGTTTTAAATTCTGAGGGTTCCCCTTTTTTTCTCCATTCAAGCTTATCTGAGGAAGTGGGTTTGGCCCCCGAAAGCTCATGAGCCTATCGATTTTGGCTCGTCTCTACGGAGCCACAGGACTGCTCGTTGTTTTTAACGTTACAGACCGCCCCACCCCCCAACTTTTACACTGCAATGTAAATAGTAGAAACTAACTTACATCTCAAACGTGCTTTCCGTTTCAATAGTCAAACCTGGGTTTATAGCCTTGGCCAGGCGCCAAGCTTCACAAGCTGCTTTACGGACAAAGACCGACACAGAAGTACACAAACTGTAGGCAGAACCGGCCCACAACATTTTGGCACCTGAGGCGGGGAGCTCAAATGACGCCCCCATGCCCCCTCGCTTGGGCCAAAACTTTGAAAGGTCTCGATTCTGCCTCCTTCCTGTTTCACTCCTCTCATGGGACTGTTCTGTTACCTACACAGGCACCAGCAGCAGACACAATTTTCTACACTGTGGGTCCTAGTGGCACCACCCACAGTCTGGCACCTGAGGCGGCTGCCTCAGTTCCCCTCATGGTAGGGCCAGCCCTGACCGTAGTTCACTTCTCTCACCCCATTTGTGTGTTGCCCGACTGCTGTTTAAAATGTATTTTATCCTGACACCTAGTGTTCGGTGCCTGCCCGGCTGCTGAGTCAGTTGATTTTTGAGGGGAGAAGCCATTGCCAATTGAAATGTAAGTGCCTGGGTGAAGTCATTGGCTGTAATACACCTTGTGCCAAAGGCTGGAGCCCTGCCTAATGAAATACACAAAGCTCTAACTCCAACTGGCATTTAAATCCCCGATTTACATGGGACGGTGGATCCTCTGGCAATGTATCTGAGACGAATCTTTACAGGAGGGCCAAGTAGCCCTCGGAAAACAATGAGTAGCCCTGTAGCACCTTAGGATGAGTCTACACGGCACCCGTACCTCACAATAAGCGACACAATTTGCACCATGCAAATTGTGTCGCTTATTTCGATCTTATTTCGAAATAGCTTTTTTCCAAAATTTGGCACTGTCTATACAGCGCCAAAGTTTGAAATAAGGCGCTATTCCAAAACGTCCCTTATCCCTCGTGCAATGAGGTTTAGAGGGGGGTCAGAATAGCAAGCCTGTTCTATTTCGATATAACGGGCTTGCTCTTAAGACACAGAACAGCTATTTCGGGATACTGGAGGAATCCCGAAATAGCTCCGCAGTGTACACATTGCCTAAGAGACTGACAAATATAGTATCATGAGCTTTCATGGGCACAACCCACTTCGCCCTTGGTGTTTTCCACATATGTGTTTGCCCTCTGCCCTGCCGCTTCCACCTAAAGCTTCGTCCCAGGCCACAGAGCCAGCCCCCCCCCACACACACCTTGCCCTGGGTCCCACAGTGGGTGTAGGCCCCGCTCTTTGGACTCAAGCAATGCAAACTACAGTGTAACAGAACGTGGTAAGGCATTTCAGCTCACTTGCAGCAGAGCCAGTTATCAAGAGAACTCGCTTATTTTTGTCACGTGAAAGGCTTTAGTCTTCCCGGTCGGAGTTTGATTGTGCCCTGAGATTCCATGCGAGCCGAGAACCCCATCAAGTCTGTTAATTAAGCATCCCCATGACAATGAATAAAAATGTAGCCAGTTCACACCCAAGCCCTGCCAAATTACTAGCTCTCATAATAAGAGTCTAGAACATGGGGTGTGGGCAAACTTTTTGGCTGGAAGGCCACATCCGCAGCACCCATTGGCCATGCTTTCTAGCCAATGAGAACTGTGGGGGCGGAGCTTGAGGCAGGGGTAGCAGGAAGTACTCTAGATACTCACTAGGCATAGGAGCCCGGGGGGGAGGGGTTATGATGCTAATTCTGGGCACAGTATAGAGCAGGGTGAGCCCCAGCAGGAGCTCAAGGGATGGATTAAAATGGCTGCCAGGCTGGATGCAGCCCAGGGCGGTATTGTTCCTTGTCAGACACTCATAAATGTAACATTACTTCTCTTGCTGTTTTTGTAGTGCCAAAAGAGCCCCACTTTTAAATCAGATACGCCTGCAACTCGTCTAGATCCATGGCAGCTACTCCAACGCTTCCACTAACTACAGGTAGGAAGGCCTTGGCAGACCTGGTAAGAAGTCAGTAATTCACAGCTTGGTTTGCTAGCTGGCAAGGTAAAGCAACACCTCTCCCCGGCTAGTGCAAAATGAAGGCGCGGGGTTATATGAGGTCTCCTCTTACAACATCTTACTAGGAGAGGAAGTTAATAATAAGCCAAACTGCAGAAGCATTTGAGCATGCAAATTTGTGACTGCTGAAGACATCGCAGAAAAAACACAGGCTAGGCACACAGCTTACTTCTAATTTTTTCCTGCTTTCCCCGCTGCAAAAGACCCCTTTTTAACTGCCCCAGGTGAAGACAAACCCACCTCCCCAGACAGTGGCCAGAAGAAATAATGGCAGCGCAAGAACCTGCAAGACAATTAAAAGACTTTGGAACACAGCTGTGTG